CTCACAAAGCCTCAAAGCTTCGTTTTTCCCCAGCTAAACACATATAGGAACAAACGAGTTTTTTCACTTTGTGCTCACCTCACATATCACATTTCTGGAAACAGAAGAAAAGATGATGAAACGTCCTCCTCTTTTCTAATTCCAATCCTGGTTGGAAATTCTTCTCGACTCATCTTGAATTCAAGGGCTATGGCAAAAGAGTAGCACTTAGTCAATATGGCACGTGAGTTAGTAGTTACATACCAGGAATGTCACTAGAGATTTATGAAATGGGGGGCATAGCTTTTATTAGGGGGTCTAATTATAATAAAAATGAATGAAAACATGTTATTAAAGCTAATTAGGCTACATTTTTTTTTCTTTGGAGGGAACTAAAGAATGTTTTAGGGGACTCAGGCGCCCCAAAAAACAGCCCTATCAACATCTCTGTAACATACTGCTTTTTTGTCTCAGATAGAATAAGATCTTGGGTCTGCATTCATCTACAGCACTGTGCAAAAGTCTTAGACAGTCAAAATAAATGTTTAAAGCTATTTATCTAGGTAGTAAATGCATTTTTGCTCAGAACAAAAAAAAAACTATTTAACAACAGAACATATAAGAGTAACAATAAAATCTAGTACAATTTTCTTCTGTTCACCAGAAAGTTACTGATATCTAGTTGGATAGTTAGATGATCACCACTTCAGGTCCAAACCTCTCCTCAGGGGCACCTCAGCCGTTACATGGATTTATTAAATGTCACCACCAGCTCACTTAATTAATTAACTTACTGTAGTTAAATAAGTCATTGAGATACAAATATGAGATGAGCTAGTGGTCGAGTAAAAAAACACATGGGTGTGTTGAATCGTTGCTGAAAATAACAGGGTGGTTTTAGCAGAGGGTTCGAAATGGCTGAGCTGACACACTTTGACAGGTATAATGTCATAGTTTTACACCAACATAAAGACCATTTAAACATAATTTTTCTGGCTGCCTAAGATGTACTTTTGCAGAGTACTGTGCATCATTTAACCCAATGTAGACCAAGATTAGGTACAACATGCTCAACAAAAGCTTTTAAGAGTGATAGGATCCGTGTGTGTGTGGCAGGGGTCGGCTGGAGAGCCATGCTGTGCTCAGACCCAAATGCATACTTTCGGCCGCCATTTCCTTCCCCTGCTCCCTCTACTCAATGGCCAGGACCTCCACCCACTGCGTCACCTCTGGTTAGGGCCTCGGCATGGACGGCGGTGCCAGAGGAGTGTGAGGACACGCACATGTCTGCTGTAAACGGGAACAGGCTTGGTGAGGCAGCCCGTAGCTATGAACACAGGAAACAGGAAGTACCTCTCAAGGTGACTTGCTATTTGTGGCATTATACACAGACACAAACATTCCTCAACCTTGCAGTACTTCACTGCAGGGCCGGGGACATACAGTAAGGCTCAGAATAAAATGGACCACACTGTTTCTGTAATGCTGATATGGATGCTGGGCTCCCAAATCGAGAGCAATATGGCGACCCCAAAACTCTGGGGGCATCAAACACGCTATCTCAGCCAACACGCTGACGGTATTATTAGGTCCAACATCACGCTACTGGGGGGGGGGAAAAAATCCATTATTTCAAGCCATGATTTGAAAAACAGGAAAGTCCAAACAATGACAAATGCAGTCTTCCAATGTTGGGGGATGTCAGGAAATGTAAAGAAAACATATACACATCTCCATCAAAAGCTCGCCCAAATACACGCACATTAGGCACTAATTGTTCGTAAATCACTTTTATAAGTGACATACTGGTGCCTTGCCATGTAATTAAGGAAAGCAAGAAAGACAAAACATACTAAGGAAGCACTTTTTCAGACTGAAGACGGATTATGTGGTCTACGGCAGAGAAAGACTCTCAGCCTACAATGGAGAATTTATCTCCATTTACAGTCAGTTTATACAGCATAATCTTTTATTACAGTTGTCATAGAGTAGATTGAATATTAAACAGAATTACTGGAAAAGACACTGCGAGGAGAATGATACAAACTACGTTATTTAATCTTTAATTTGTGCATGGCTTTCTGGGACGTAAAACTCTAATGTTTATTAAAGCATAAATGCAGGAAATGCAGATACAGCAGAGCATAGGGGAGGATGTGTCACGACAGCACAAGTGAAAAGGAGTAGGGAAAAGAAGGGGAGAATACGAGAGGAAGAACAGAAAGGAGGGAAGGATCCAATAATGGTAAATACTTTATGTGCTATTTGCAGGAGTACATTGTAATTCTTCCTTTCACCTACCTCAGCCAATATGTGGCATCCCTCATTCTGGTCTTAAAATCCATACACAGTATGTAGACTGGATCATAATTTATCTGACTAACCAGGTATTAGCTACTAATAATGTATCACTGTCTCACCTGCCTCTAATTAATCAGGAAATTGAGCCTGCTCTGGGTTGGGTTCATTCAAAGCCCAAACTTAAATTCACTGCTCAGTCATCAGCATTGCTCTTGGAGCAGTGGGCTGATTGTAACCTTGGCAGAGGTTTGGTTTGGTTTTTGGGGCTTATCTATGTAGGTTCATTTTCTTTGTGCCTATCAGTAGCCAGCAGTTATTGGCTTGGTGGATTAAGGTACCTTGGGGTTTATGGTCTTTGACTGGAATTTGGCCTTGGGGTTCTGGTTGGCCAGTTTCTGTGTTGAGGCTACATGATCCTAGGTGGCCCTCGTTCCACAGCTGGGTTGCTGTGCTGCTGGCATCCTGTCTCTGGGGGTTTTGCCCCTTTAGGTTCCTGGTTCATGTTCTCCTGTCCTCTGTTTCACCTCATCCTGGTGCTGTCCATCCAGTCAGCGGCCCAAGTCCCCCTGGTTCCCTGTTCCCGGCAGTGTTGGGGCTGTCTGTCTTGGGGGCCAGAGGGCAGCAGACCTGGCATGGTGGATGGGCAGCCCAGGCTGGGGTGTTCTGTCACAGAACTGGTATTATGAAGGCAATAAATGTTTTTAACCTGAGAGTCGTGACATATCATATTAATTATAGCAAATGGCTTATAATTAGGGGTACGAGAAAACATCGATAAACTTCACACGATATTCAGAGTTGCCAACTCTCATGTATATGGCGTGACACTCGCGCTTTCAGACTCTCTATAAACCTAATATTAGCTGCTCCAAAAGTGTCAGGGCAGTCTACAAACCCTACAGACTATTTACAAGATAATAAAACTCTTACATACATGTACATGTGTGTGCAGAATCTTGAATTGAAAATCTCATGCAAGCCAGCTGACCAAAGTTGGCAAACCTGGATATTATGATTTTGGATACTGTATCAATTCTCAAAAACAGTGTATCAATTTTTAATTAAAAGTTTACATGCAAAGATTTGTGGCAGATTGTGCATTTTATGTTATGTTTAAAGTCCGAACTGCTAGATAGCAATGTTGTAATCTATCTTCAGCCACTGTTCCACTGCAGCATAACAAGGTAAGCCGAGAACTATGAACCAAGATGGCGGCGTGCACAGGCATATAACCTGGAGCTCTCCAGTACCACTCATTTGTTGTGAAATGTAACAGTGATGTGCTTCTTTGCTTACAATACTAGCATTTTATTCTTTATTTTTATTTATTTATTTTATTTTATTTTATCTACATATTTATCTGTGGTGGCTCTGAGGCCAGGGATCTGTGCCAGAAAACTGGAAGGTTACTGGTTCAAATCCCGTGAATGCCCGGAGTGATTCTACTCCATTGGCCCCTTGAGAAAGGCCCTTAACATGCAATTGCTTTGTCCAGGGTATGATGTTAATCTGCATCCAGCCCTATAAGGAGGTCTTCCAACTAACTGGGAATAACTTGGGGGTTGGTGGCAGGATTGACACTCCAGCCAATGGAAAAAAAAGTCACACTGGTCCATTTGGACTAGTGTGGTGCTGAGGTATCACCTGCCACATGGCTGCACTCAGGTTCTCATCCCATCTATCTATCTATCTATCTATCTATCTATTATTGATATTGGATGTTACAGGGACTGTGCTAAATGCAAACACTGACCCACTGTTCTGATTGCATTAAAAAGTACTTTTTAGATTTCATGCATATGGTGGTGTGTTCTTTATAGTACAACTGTTTCCCTAAAATTAGATTGAAAAAAAAATTGCTATATATCGCTTTGCTTACAATATTGCAATTTCTTGAATCACAATCCCTGTATCGTGATCATGTTGCCAGACCCTTGCCGATACACTTCCCCGCTTATCTGGTAAAATGCAGATTTAATGGCGTACCAGTTAGACAGAAAGGGAACAATGATCTGCCATCTGCATTTTTGAGAGGTGCCCCCCATCACATTGCCCCCACCTCTTGATCTATAGCAAACACTAAAGCAGGGGTCTCAAACTCCAGTCCTGGGGGGCCAGAGCCCTACACAGTTTTTGGTTCACCCTCATTTAACACACCTGATTCAACTCCTTGTGCTAATTACCACACAGCTCTTGAACTGAATTATTTGTGGTGGAACAGGGAAAGAACTAAGCTACACGGGGCTCCGGCCCTCCAGGACTGGAGTTTGAGACCCCTGCACTAGAGTATTATGTACGAGTGTCAATGCTTTATGTCGCATGGAGTAAATATTACAGGCTATAACGTTCACTTCATGTCAGGGCTGTGATTTCAGATGCGGGACCGTAGTTTAGGTGGCTGCAGATGCCTCCACATCAATCCAATTAGCTGATTTTGTACTGCCATTATTTTCGTATGCAAAATGTAGAATGTGGTGTGAACGCTAGCATAAATTAGATGTTTGATACTCATGCTTCAGTCATTTCAAATAGTTTTTAAAGAGCGTCACTTAAATACAATATGCGAAACACATTAAGGACTCTATACTGGGTGGAACCCTTTTCTGCGGTACTATTAGTTTAACTTAGTTTTTTCTTTAATCCAAGTGGCACAACCCGCGCCATTTGAGCTTCATCGGCGTCTTTCCCGTCGGTGATGCTTTTCCTTCCTTTCCTTTCCTTTCCTTTCCCTTCCCTTCCCACCCACAATAATCAGCTCACTGAGTGCAAGGTAGCGGAATAGTAGCTCTCCCCATCGCAACTTTTTTTGCGTCCCGAAGAAGAAAGTCCAGAAGAAGCGAAGCCCCCAAATTAAGAGGAATAAAGAGAAATGCGCATCAACGGGCTAAACTACTGTGCATGCGAGGACTGTACGCTGGAAAGTGAATATTTCTGACAGAAAAACAGCGCGGGCCATTGTCACTAATTCGACGGACACGCTTCAAACATTTAAATTATGACCGGCCTGATTTATTTCTTATTCTGCATTTCAGGATCAGGTATGGCAAAATATATATTATTTTTTATCTTTAGTTTTGTCTGTATTTAAGGGTTCCTCGATGAACCAGCGATTTGAAACGTAAAACGTTGACTGTTTAGCTCCATAAATCATTTATACCGTGCAGTTATTTGGTATATTGCAATAACGTAAAGGAGATCTGAAAAACTGTGTTAAAATTTGCATTTTTCATACTACACGTTAATAAATGTGTTTGGCTATTTGATAAATATAAAAGCAGTAACTCTTGTGGAAATTCCAGTATAACGTTATTTTGTCTTATTTAATTACTTTTTTTGTCTTATAATGTAAATGTACGTGTTTTATTATTATTATTATTATTTGTTATTTAGCCCCCACTCTTTACATGTCTGTCAGGATGGGTCTTAATATGTACAAAAACTACTGTAGCAACTGGGCGGCGTACGCGTCGCTAGCCGAACACTCCGTAAATGAAATTGGATATTCCTGCCACCACCTTTTTAGGTTTGCTGTTTAATTAACCCGCTGAAATTTTGTTTATGGAATTTCCACTAAGAACTGAAATATGCGTTTTAGAATAAGTAAAACTGGTTAATATCGCCCAGGACTAAATACTATTATATCTAAATACTATTCATAAACTGTAGCCTGTATACTGGACATATAACGTGGTGCCATCTTCAAGTTCTCCTTTTCAGGTCCTTTGTTTTTCTAAATTTTTTGGCAGGGGCCATGGTGAGGTGGGGGGGGGGCGGTTGTTAAATAGAACTTATTGTGGAAATACATGTTCAAAATACTCAAATTCCATTCCAGATGGCTCGGTGGGTGTGCTGTTGTCTCACACATACAGGTTTTGGGGTTCGAATCCTGCCTCTGCTTTGCCAGTTTGGAGTTGGCACTCTCTCAGTGCAGTCTGGGTTTCCACCAGCATTTATGTTAATTTGCCCATTTTGTATGCATGTGGTCAATAGGGGGAGTCAATGCCACTGATTTTGTTTTTGATCTGATTCGATTCAATACTAAGGTTTTTATCGCCAATACCGATATTCGGTACTAGCCTGGCCCTGATGATAAAATTTGCTGACTGAGGAGGGCAAGTGCTATCAAATGGGTTGTTCGATTTTCCTATTTGCTAGTTTCTGAGCCCCTGAAGATCTTCCTCTTTCCCCACCTTATGGGCAACCCTGCCTGGTAGCAGATTATGTGCTTGAGAGCTATAATATAAGAATTTAAATTACTAGGTTAAGAAAAATTATATTTTAACGCTAAAATCGATTTTCAAAATGAAACATTCAGGTAGAAAGAATCAATATGTCAGTATCGATCCGAACATCCCTTAGTGGCAGGGGGGGCCCTGGGTGTTCTGGCACCCTAGGTGAGATTCTGCTGAGGGCCCCCCCCCCCACCCGGGAATGATGTGCAGCGTTCCAGAAATCTGGCCACAGACTTAATAACAAACTTACACAGGAGTGTGACTACAGATCTTCTCCCCTCTCCCCCACCCTGTCGACAACTTTTACCATCAACACCACCCTCCCGGTCAATTTCACACACAGAATGCCCCCCCCCTTTCCCCCTACCCAAAATCAGTATGATTAACTGTCAGTCTCCCAAAGCCATCTTAACACTATGTTGTTTGTAGGTAATATTTGTTAACATAGAACTTATGAACAACGTAGCATTAAGAAGGCTTCGGGAAACTCACCCTAAGGTAGGATGTCTGATTCAGCATTTAAGCTCCAGTAATTTCAGGATTCAATTCTTTGAAGGACTGTGGCTGTGGGACGATCACATAAGATGTTTTTTTTTCCTTTAGATTTTTTTTTCACTTGGTTTCTGTTTCAAAAATGTAATAAACATGATCTAATAAGGTAAAATGAATGTGAACGTAATAGCCTCACCATTGTGTGTTATGTATTCCCTACAGGTGCAGTTATGGACTTGACATTAATATCCAATACAGGAGCTTCCTCAGTCTCAAAATTCTTCCTGACCTGCATATCAGGAGAGCGTGACCCTGAGCTGGTCGAGCTTCAAATTAAAAGGGACAACAGCATCGTCCAGCTGACTTCGCTGCCCACATATAAAACAGAGCGGTCCCGTCCGCAGGAGATCAAAGTAAACGAGTTCCACAACTTGAACAAGCAAGGCATCTTCTACTGCATCGCTCAGAAGGACCAGAAGTGGCTCACAACCGTCACACTCATCAGCAACTTTGAGAAAGGTACCATACTTGTACCCTGAATGATGTGATGACATCTGACACAAGATTTGGTAAAACTAAGTAATTCAGCAGTGCAGTTTCATTCGTGATAGAGCCCCCAGCCTTGTGTGTATGGAGTTTTCTCCATGTTTGCACTGCTGCTCCCACAGTTCAAAAATAACGTCACATAATGCACAGCTGTGTGTTGGAGTCCGGATTGGGGCGTTCCCCGGCCGTCTGCCCAGTACTTGTTAGGATAGATGCCAGACCCCATCCTATACAGCAGAAGTTCAAGAACCATGGGTTGTTGACACCTGGGGGGTCTTCAGGGTCTTCAAATGATTCAGAATGGTTACGAGTTTATTTTATGTCACCCCCACCACCTGACAGATTTTATCATGACCAATCAGTTTAGTTTTCGGTTGACGAATTTTGTCACACCCTGCCCCCCCCCACCCCTTGACCATTGTCAAAAAAATTGAGAATCACTGCCATGCACAATAAGTGATATGGAAGATGGATATGTAGACAGATGCTCATTTATTGCACCAATCCTCTCCCTATATGGCCATAACTTCCTGGTTAGAGAGAAGCATTCTGGGAATGGAAGAGTTAATTTAGCACAATTACTTACATTCAGACACTTATTTTCTTGCTTTGTTAAATTTCTCTTGTCTTGTAGTAATGCGGTATATATTAATAGATAATTCATGGGGGTAAAGTTTAAACACACCGTTGGTGAACATGCTAGCAGGACTATAGAGCTTGGTGAATTTCCAGCATGTTGTAACTGAGTGTGATTTACCAATTAAGTCTGTTTTTTTTTGTTGAATAATATACTGCTTTTTGTGCCATTTACTTTGGTAAATGTTACATTTACTGTATAACTAGATGTACATAGGATGCCCAGAAATTAAGAATAGAGACTATGATTTTGTTTCAACCAACTAGATATACTTTCTGGAACTGAACTATCTAACTCTGTTTATATTAATGTTCTAATTTAGTTGTACATACACTACATTGCCAAAAGTGCTGGGACACCCCTCCAAATCATTGAATTCAGGTGTTACAATCACATCCATAGCCACAGCTGTATAAAATTAAGCACCTAGGCATGCAGACTGCTTCTACAAACATCTGCGAAAGAATGGGTCGCTCTCAGGAGCTCGGTGAGTTCAAGCGTGGTACCGTGATAGGATGCCACCTGTGCAATAAGTCCATTCGCCACTGGACTCTAGAGCAGTGGAGACGTGTCCTCTGGAGTGACGAATCACGCTTCTCTGTCTGGAAATCCGATGGATGACTCTGGGTTTGGCGGTTGCCAAGAGAACGTTACTCGCCTGACTGCATTGTGCCAAGTGTAAAGTTCGTTGGAGGGGGGATTATGGTGTGGGGTTGTTTTTCAGGGGTTGGGCTTGGCCCCTTAGTTCCAGTGAAAGGAACTCTTAATGCTGTAGCATTTGAAGCCATCTTGGGCAATTTCATGCTCCCAGTTTTGTGGGAACAGTTTGGGGATGGCCCCTTCCTGTTCCAACATGACTGCGCACCAGTGCACAAAGCAAGGTCCATATGGACATGGATGGGCACATCTGGTGTGGAGGAACTTGACTGGTCTGCACAGAGCCCTGACCTCAACCTGATGGAACACATTTGGGATAAATTAGAGCGAGCCAGGCCTTTTCATCCTACATCAGTGCCTGACCTCACAAATGCTCTAAAATGTCAGTTTCATCAGTGCATCTTAGATTTTCTAGTCTCCTGGATGCACAAACTGCAGGTTATATGAAAATTATAGTAAATATAATCATATGAACATATTGGTTATCGGTATTGGAATCAGACATGACAAGGACTTAATTATCAGGTATCAGTTTAAATTTTTCATATCATGCATCCCTATCAAAAATTCTCATAAACACACTCCTAAACCTTGTGGACAGCCTTCCCAGAAGAGTTGAAGCTGTTATAGCTGCAATGGGTGAGCCAACTCCATATTAAAGCCTATGTATTAAGAATGCGATGTCATTAAAGTTCACGTGTGTGTAAAGGCAGGTGTCCCAATACATTTGGCAATATAGTGTATGTATTGTAAGTAATTTTGCTAACTGTATTATACATATTTCTTATAACAATTTGTTTTTTTGATTTTCTTTGTGCAAGAACAATTTCATCCAAGTCAGCTTACAGTAACAGCCAGCCCTGGAGATACAGTCAATCTGGTCATGCGTGTTCTAGCCCCCCAAAAGAGAGATGTGACATGGAAATATAATGGTGAGTCACCATCTGAAATCATCAAGAATGATCAATTTTCCAGATTTACTGAGCAAGGCGCTAAATTGCTTCATTGACTGTCTGACTCTGCTTTTCAAATAAATGTAAAGAACATATTCTGTGTTTTAAGTAGGGCTGTCAAAATAAACACGTTAATCATTACAATTAATTTAAAATACTTAACTCGTTAAAATAAATTGACGCAATTAATGCAATAAACAATGTCATCGCACCATATATTGTGTGGCAACCATGTAAACCATATAAATGATCGTATGAGACATTTTTTTTGTACTGCTGTTATTCATGAGCTACTACGTTGTTATATCTGAAATATACATCCTTTGTGATTATTCTGCATTGATTTTGTGATTGATTTTTACATTTAAATATGCATTATAACAAGCTTTAGCCTTAAGAAGTAAAAAAAAAAAAAGTTTTAATTGCGATTAATCGTGATTAATTCATTGTAAAATGTGCGATTAAGTAGTTAATTTTAAAAAATTGATTGACAGCCCTAGTTTAAAGATATATTTTGTTCATATAAAGACAGTCTGTCTCACTGGCTGTTCACGTGTTCTGGGGTCCCGCAGGAAACTTTTACTATACTACACACTGGACTGAGTTTACGAACAACACGGCCACCTTGCTTATAGAGGGACTGACGAAAGGCCATGAAGGCGTCTACAGTGCCAACTACATGGGAGACAGCCCCCTGTATGGCACTTACATGAGGCTTATCGTTAGAGGTATGGCCACCGTTCTCCATGTCCAAGCTGAAACCTGCTGCATTTCCATACAGCCAACAACATGTGTGTTTGCATTCACCAGCATGCAGAGATAAGAAGTGGGGTCGTAATTGTGACCAGGACTGTCCCAACTGCCTGAACGGAGGCGTTTGTCATGACATCGAGGGTGTCTGCATCTGTCCACCAGGCTTCATGGGAACACACTGTGAAACCGGTGAGGCAACACCTCCAGGTCAGGCTTGTCGGACCAAAGCCGGAACGTATAAAAAGAATGCAAAAGCATTTATTTTCTTAAATTTGAGCGCAGATTGATTGTGACAGTGGATCAGTGGGTAGCTCTGTTTGCTTAGGCTCTCAGGGTTGGGAGTTCAAGTCATGTCATGTGGCTTTCCAAAAAACTCTCAACTGCCCATAATTTGTCCGTGTGCCTGGTGTTAAACTGGCATCTGGTCCAGGCTGTTTCCTGGGATAAGCTCCTTGTACTGGAAAAGTGGTTTGCATGAATATTCTAGGGATGCACCGATTGATCGGCCAGCGATCAGAATGGGCTGATTTTCAGCCTGATTGGTGATCGGCCGATCAGTGTCATGTATTTCCGATTACTAACTGATCTTGCGCATGCACAATAAATTATATGCATAGTTTCAGACACAAAAATGTATGGAAGAGGATTAGGGCCACCATGAAAATATAATTTGAATTCTGACTTTAATCTCAGAATTCTGAGATTAAAGTCAGAATATTTGTGGCTGAATATATTCTGTAAATTCACAGGTTGACCTAGAGTTAAGACAGGGATTTTCTCTATTTCAAAATCATTGAAATCACAATTGCCGCACATAGATAAAAGTAATTTGAGCCAATGTGTAATTTAAGTAGTTTTTGTTAAGCTTCTAAATGATTTTGTTTGTTTTTGAGGTTTGAGGGTTTCAAATGCCGTTTGCATTTTTAAGAAAGAATAAATGCAAAGTGAAGTAACATAATTTTGATGATTAATGTTTCAAGACTCTATATATCAAACGCGTAGAAGCTTCTGCTGCACATCAAAAATCACCAGAAATGCAGCTTGGGGACTCTGCAACATTTTCTTGATTTATTCTCCCGTGAACCTATACAGATTTATAGACTGCTGATATACACGTGGGTATTATTTCTTTCTCCGCTGTAAAACACTCCTGTTGGCTATGCTGGTTTTCTCATTTTCCTTAAGCTTGCAGAGAGGGAATGTTCAGCCAGAACTGCCAGGAATCCTGCCAGTCAGAGCAGAACTGCAAAGGATTGACCTTCTGCCTCTCTGATCCTTTTGGCTGCACCTGTGCCAGCGGGTGGCATGGAGCTCATTGCACCAGACGTGAGATTTTTTTTGTTCTGTTTCTGGCATTTTGTTAAAGTTTTGCACAAAGCATAAGCAGATTTTCCATAAAATGAGAAGGCCATGAATGTGTTATGTTTCCATTAATGCATGTCATGCAAATAACTTGTGTGATTTTTAATCCTGCAAGATTAAGATCTATGTCTCGTACTTCGACATGGAGCAGACTATGTACGAGTTAGTAGGTTTAGAAGAACTAATTATCATGTCCTACGTATCTACCAATTTGCAACTTTTGTCTCTATTGGTTTCCATTCCTTTTCAACCCACCACAAAACCACCTCTAGCAAACGTTGTGAGACTTGCAAGTTTTTTTTGTGGTATCTAAGTATTTCGTTACTTTTACAGTTTGCATATTCAAAGTACACATAGACTATGTCGATGGAAATGCCACTAGTAGAGGGAGCACTCCCCCTACTCTAAATGTGCCTCCCCAATCCGGCAGCTTGTGGCAAAGACACGTATGGCGCTGGTTGCAAGTTACACTGCAGGTGCAAGAACAACGGAGTCTGTGACCGATTCAGCGGGTGCCAGTGTCCTGCCGGCTGGCGGGGACGCAACTGCGAGAAATCAGGTAAATATGAATCTTGGAGGTATGGGATCATTATAAATCCACCTACAGTCAGCCAACGGCAACCTCCTGACCCTCGGTTCCTCATGTTCTTGTGGCAGACCATGCACCCCAGATCCTGGACATGGAGAGCAGTCTCGAGTGGAACCGCAATTCCAGCCCGAAGATCCTGTGCTCTGCCAAGGGCACCCCCTTGCCAAGCCACACCAGCATCGAGCTCCGCAAAATGGACGGCACCATTCTGAAGGTCAGAGGGGATCTTGTGTGGCATTATTAGTTGGGATAGCTCCAATGGCAGGGGGGATCGATATTCCATGCGGCGGCATTTTTGATGTAAACACCCCTGTCTGATGAACACTCAGGCCTCCCATACGACGATGGATTCCAACAAGAGCACGGCCCAATTTGAGATTCCACATCTATCCTTGGAGCATGGGGGGGTTTGGGAATGTCGTGTTGCCACCAATGGGGGGCAGGACAGTCGCAAATTCAACCTGACCGTCAAAGGTAAGGTCACCTGAATCCTTTTTTTCAAACGTACTTTTGCATGAGCCCTCACAGCTCTTTCCTTCACTAAGAAGTTTTGAAATAAGCTAAAGGCTGTATATTAAAATAACCCCAAAACTTGCATCAGGAGTTGCTGGATAAATGGGTGACCCAGCCCTTTGTCCCCAGGCTTTGCTCTGACATGTACATGTGTGTCTCTTAGAATAGCGACGTTGCATCTTCAGAAACCAAAGATTTCTATATACCTGTACTGTACTAATGCCAAATAGAAGCAAATTGAAAGCTGTTTAAACACCTGCATTAATTAACACCAGTGATTTGAAGAGTGTGCTCTAATGCCCATCTTGACTTGGGGCTGTTTGTTTACTTTACTTGACTTGACAGGGTTGTTTGTTTACTGTAGCCATTTTAGCATTTGTTTTGTTTCCCACCAGAGCCTCCCTGTCCCCTGACGCCTCCAAAACTATTGGAAAAGAGGAGCAAACAGCTGATTGTCAATCCTGTGGTCACTTACAAAGGCGATGGGCCAATTGTCTCCACCAAGCTCCTCTACAAACCAATGGAAGCTGAAGTTTCTTGGTCTTCCATCATAGGTAGTTCCATCATAGTTAGACAAAAGAAACCAAATCACACACAAAAGTAATGGAAGTTGGGTGTTTCTGAGCACAGTATATGTGTAAAAATTATAAATGCCACATTATCTCATCTTGAATCCTTGACATATGAACATACACGCCAATCTCTCTGGGTGGTGACCTTCTACCCCATCTTCTTTCAGTTTATGGCATGGAGCCCATCACTTTAATGAACCTGAAGCCGTCCACCAGGTACTTCGTTAAGCTCCAGCTCACGCGACCTGGGGAGGGAGGAGAAGGTCCTCCGGGACCTGAAGCGGTCATGGAAACGGACTGCCCAGGCGAGTACACAGAATGCTTCACCCTGTTTTCATGTATTCATCTTCTAACCAGTTTTCCTGGTCAAAGTCGGGGGGGCTGGAACCTAATCCGGGATGGGCGGGGGGTGGGGGGGGGACACCGGGGGGGGGGGTGTTAAGCCTGCCAATTACCATTCACCATGTTTTGAAATCCATAAATATTTATG